TGGCTTAAACTCACGCCGGGTGTGTGTGTGCATGTGTGCCTAAGATCCCGAAAGGAGAATGGAGGTGGAGGAGAAGGGATTGCGGCGTGGCCATCCCCCCTGGGCGGTGATTTCTCACTTTCTGTCTCTCTCTGTCTTTCTGGTGAGCACATGCATCCTATAGCAAAAACCAACAATTTCAAGATGTTCAACCTTTAGTGTGGCATGGTGGTTAAGGTGCCAGACTTTCACACAGCCAACAACAGTTTAAGTCCCAGCCCTAGCAGCTTGGAAGTCTCTAGGTGCATGTGCATGCCTGCTCAAAACCCCAGGAGGAGAACGAAGGAGAAGGGACTATGGTATGGCCACCCCCTCCAGGGGATGACTTCTCACTGTCCCTCTCACTGTCTCTCTCTGGTGAACAATAAACAAAACCAAAATAGTTATGTGAACAGATCCAAAGACAGACCCTCTGGGGTAGCCCTAGAGACCTCCATCCAATAAAGGTTCTCTTATTAAATATTTAACTTCTGACTGCACCTAAGCCTATTATGTTCTCCCTGCCATTTCCCAGCTTGTTCATAAAGGTATGCTCAAATCAAAACATTTCTTCTATTTCAGCTCCTTGGGGGTGGGGGGGTGGGGGGGAGCACTACAATAAAAATAATTGATCTGGAATTAGTCTTTCTTTGAAAGAGGAAGGTGGTAACTTCACATAATCACAGTGCTCGGCCCTGCCGCCATGTCTAGAGCTCAGGGCACAGCTACTCAGACTTATTAGAAGTTCTGTTGAATCAAGTTGATAGATAGCCCAGAGGATTGATAGACCATAATGCAGAAGGAGCCCTGAACTGGACGCCGTGGGGCCAGGAAGTTTAGCATTGCGGTAACCAAAAGTCATTGAAGTCTCTTCCTCTTTTCTGTTGGAGATCTGTGCTCGGATTTGGGCTTGGGACATGTGGCTAGAGCAAACACTCCCGCTAAACCGTGGCAGTCACACCAGCTACTTGCAAGGGTTTTCTGAAGACTGCCTTGCGTCTGCTCTCAGAAGCAGCACAGGGAGAGAGGGATCGTGGAAGGGTGTGGCACGTGCTCCCTGAAGAGAACCGGAACTCCACACCGAGGAGAAGGAGAGGTGCGGGGTGTGGGTTGGGGACTCAATATGGATCTCCAAGAAGTCGAAGTCAAACTCTTGGCCTTGCTTGGTGATCCCTCCTTTAACCACGTCCTCTCCTGAGAAGCAAATGCTCTGGCGTAGAGGTAACCTGTGGTTAGATGTAACCTATGGTTCAGCGGAAACCCTCAGTCCTCACCCAGCCCCACTCTTCATGCAGAGGGGAGAGGAGACCAGAGGAAACATCAGGGGGAGCAAAGGAAATGGGAGGGCAAAGGAAGGTGAGAAGAACACCAGAGATACATGGCGACTCGCATTCACTTGACTCTTCACTCAGCTACCCCTGGGGGGGAAGTGTTTAGAACTGTACACCCGGGTATGGACAGTAGAATCTGGCCCTGGTGGTATTAACTCCATTAGGCCTGATTTTCCTCCGCTGTATAATGGGGACTGTGAAGGCACCAACTAAGCATTTCTGTTATCTCTTTAAACTCTAAAATCCTATGTATTAGGTAGAGTGCCCCACTCTGATGGATCTAGAAAGTTGTACAAATCTGGAGGCTGCAGACATCAAGGTAAGTCACCCACACTGCTGCACATCGGCATTACTGGAACATCCCACGGTCAAGAAGTCCAAAGCATTGTCTGTCCTGGAGAGAAGGCATTCCAGGAAACAGCCTTGAGGATGGACCTTAGATTTCCATTTCCAGGGACCAGCAGCTGGTGTAATGGCTTTGTCACAGGACTCCCATGTAGTCGACTGCAGTTCGAGTCCTGGACCCGGTGGCTTAAACTCACGCCAGGCGTATGTATGTGTATGCCTAAGATCCCGAGAGGAGAATGGAGAAGAAGGGATTGTGGCATGGCCATCCCCACTGGGGGGTGATTTCTCACTTTCTGTCTCTCTGTCTCTCTCTGTCTTTCTGGTGAGCGCACACGTCCTATAGCAAAAACCTCTAAAAAAAAAAAATTTTCCATTTCCAAAGAGAGCAGTCTGCAACCTGGAGGCTTATTCTTCAGCCTTCAGGTCTCAGCAGACAGCACTTAAGTCTTTTCTGGGGGTTTTTTCCTTTTTTTTGGGGGGGGGGTAAGCTTTTTCTTTTGGGAGCGTGCACTTGCAGAGGAGAGAGACAGAGACAGAAACAGTGAGAGGGAGGGCCAGGAGGTGGCTTGGTGGTTAAGGTGCTCAGAATCCCGCATGGCCGACCACAATTTGAGTACGACCACAATTTCAGTCCCAGACCTGGCAGACTGCTTTCTCACTTACCCATTCTCTCTCATTCTCTATCTCTTTTGTCAAAATTTAAAATAATAATAAATAATAATAACAAATAAAATTAAATAAAGACGTCATTTTTTGTAAAGAAAGGACAGTGAGAGTGATAGCCATGCCACAATTCCTTCTCCTCCATTCTCCTCCTGGGGTTTTGGACATGCACACACACATCCCCGGTGTGAGTTTCAAACCATGGAGTCCAGGATTCAAACTGCGGTCAACCATGTGGGAGTCCAGCAACGTAACCACCACACCATCTACTGGTGCCCACTTAAGAGTTTTCTGAAGCTGCCATCTCCATTCTGAAATAACCCCATGTTTCAGATGGTGCTGGGACAGTGGAAACCTACAAACCCTGGTAGCAACAGAGGGAAGCGTGCCCGGAAGGAAAGGCCAGCTGGGCACAGTTCCGCTCTCAGCAGCAGCGACTAGTCTACAAGGGAAGGAAGGAAACTCAGAGAACGTGGGGGAAATGGGCTTTGCTGCTGCATTTGCAAGGCCGGGCTGTGCTTTATTTTGGCACACTTCTCCTGGCAAAAAACCGAATACGCTCACCATATAAATACTAGCCGACATTAATCCCAGGTGTATATGAGACCATTATCTGTAAAGATGCCAAATTGCATGCACATGGGCTAGGAATACCCTGGAGAGATTCATAAAAATAAGACAAAGGGCAAAGAAGCCCTGCCAAAGGAGAATGAGAGCAAATCCTTTCAAGATGGTGGGAGAAAAGAAGCAAATGGTTCATGAATCCAAGACCTTTAAAATAGGACTCAGTTGCCCGCGGAGTATCAGCCTCTCTAGTTTGTGTGGTCCGCGGTACAGTGGCTCTGGCTGGCTGCTTTAGAGAAGGGCAGAGTCCCAGAGGGTTGATGCCTGAGGTTTCACTGCCATCATGTGGAACCATGAGGTATAGCAGCTTTGGACAGTCTAGGCCTATCCACGGGGGACTGCTTCTCATCTAACAATGAAAAGTGAGCGAAAGCTCGCTGAGCTTTGTTCCATGATCACCCTTTAGTTCAGAGGAGCTGTCACTCTGGTTCTTAGACATCCATTGGCTGACATCCTCCCAAGGACCAGGCCAGGCTAAACTTGCGCATTCTATTTCGGCCCAGATAGAGAGGGATGGGTGTTTAGATATTCTTACGGGATGGGTATTTAGATATTCTTCCCTAATATAATCATTCTCAGATGCCCAAACCCTCAACCCCTGAGATGCCTCTACTTTAACCAAGTGCAAAGGGGCTTCAAAAATTTGTGCAAAAGTAGAATTAAAGTATGAGTTTGTTTCGGTGCAAAAAGTTTTAAATCCAGGCATAGTTTTTTCCACAATGTGCATGTTCCACCAACAACTTGAAAAACTCTTCATATTTTTCAATTATTATTTCATTTTACTTATTAGTCTTAAATTTGACCATAGAGAGAGGGAAAATGAGAAAGCAAGCCACTAGGTCCAGGACTTGAACCGCAGTCGGCCATCTGGGAGTCCAGTACCTTAACCACCACACCACCTGCCAGCTCCAAACCCCTCATATTTATGTGCAGAAGTCAGGAGACCCAAGGATGAGAGACTTGAACACAGGTAAACAGCCATAAGGGCTATCACATAAACGAGGGGCATTCTTTTGCCACCTGACAAAAACAAGAATTCGGCAAGATGATACCCCATCTCGTTCTGACCCTGGAGGCCACATTCTTTCCTAGAAGAGAAACAGATCTCCAGAGATACGTTCTATGTCCAGGTGCTCTTCAGTTTTGAGAGGAGTTGACTTGAGGAAGGCGGCTGTCGGGATCAAAAGGCCTAAGAGGCTCTTTTCCCTCCTAAGAAAACAGGCCCAGGGCATTTTGTTGTTTTACCTTTGGCTCAACTCCACTTGCTTGGTTGAGAAGATAAAAACCAGAGGAGGAAAGAAAAGAGGGAAGGGAAAGCATGCCTACTGTAGGGCGAATGGTATGTATGAAGTCATATTTTCTCCTCAGAACAAATCTCACGCCTCTTGGAAAAGACTAGAACTGTCTAGAACCACCCACATCATTGTTTTTCATTCTCTCTTTTCAATACAAAGCTAGGCTAATGGAAGTGTAAAGCCTATCAACCAAATCTCTGTGAAATATAGATACGCCTAATCCAGCGTGTCGTTAATTCACCTCCACCTCGCCTCACTTCTGCCTCACGCTGGCTTTTCCTTTTGACGAAAAGTAGAGTGTCACGTTTTAGGAGGTAACTCCCTAATTTAGCTCAAAATTTTCCAATGTAATTTGATTTCCATATAGAGAGTATATTTATTTTTCCCTTCAGACAAAGATTTCCTGTTGCTCTGCCCCACTAAGCTGTTTCAAGGGTAAAGCAAATAATTGTTAGGTGCCATGTCTTGGCCAAGAAATAAGGGACCTGGATTTGTCCTCTCCCCACAATTAGACCTCGGGTGGAACGTGAAACTGGCTTTGAGGTCTCCACCCTGTCTTTCGGGAGCTGCCAAACCCCATTCCAGGGTGGCCACTCCTGTCTTCCTGGGGCAAAACCTCAGGACTCATGACCCTTCCTGTCTCTCTCACCTTTGACAGCCTCAGAAGTTGGGAGAGACACACCTGTCTTAGCTATAGCGGGCAGAAGGACAGGCGCGTGGAGAAGGGAAGCACGACCCCAGTGGAACTGGGCCTTGACTTTGGCTCCGGCAGGACACCTGGCAGCGTGCTGGTGCCTGTCACTTGCACAGCTGCTGACACAGTGAAGGAGTTGCCACGGCATCTTTATTACATATCCAGGTGAATAACTTATCGCACAACGGACCCTGCCCCACCAGAGACAATACCCGCTTACAGAGCATGCGTGGGGGGCTGAACACAGTGTAAATCTATGTACAGAGGCTGAGGGGTCAGGGATGGGGGAGAGTGGGAGCCAGGGGCTCAGGGCAAGCACAGCACACGGATTCTCCAGGCTGTTCTCACCGGTGAGGTCCGGAAGAACTCCTGGCAAATTGTGTGTGGGAGAATAGGTCTGGGCACCGGCAGCAAGCTTGGGGACAGGGCAAAAAGGGAGGCTGACCTGTGAATGGGTGCTGGGAAGCCTCGAGGCCACCCTATATGAGAGCAGCACCTCAGAGATACGTCCGTGTAGCCCCTCGTACCCAGGCAAGAAGACAAGGGGGGGGGGGTATGCCAAGAAGTTGGCTTCCAGTGTGGATTTAGGCAGGATGGGGCCAAGAGACAGGCCTTGGCTGTCCTTGCTCAGGTGCATAGCTCTGCTCCAGGCCAAGCAAGTCACAAACCCTCTGGAGCTGGGCGCGTTGGCTCCTAGAGCTGAACAAGCAGTATGAGGACAGGTGGCCAGCGCTTCCGTCGCGTGTAACGTGAGAGCCATGGTGAGAGACTAACCCCGAGTTGCCAGAGAGTCCAACTTATGATACTGTCCTAACTGGGGGACAAAGGAACTCTACTATAGAGCCACCACGCACGCACTGGAGCCGTGTCAGCCCCCGCCAGCTCCAGGACAGAAGAGTGCTTGAGGCTGGGAGGGAGGCAAGCGGTTTTGTGATGTTTTATGCAGTTTTCTTAGAAGACTCAGGAGGCAGCCCACATCCCCGAGGACTCCTGGCTGGGTCTGCTGGCTGTGTTCATCCCACTCTTCAGAACAGAGTTAACTCCCCACTTTCCTTCCTTCGTAGTCATTGTAAGGGCTGGCCCGAGCCTGAGCCCGTGGGATGGAGAAATCCTTTGGAGGAGTCCGATTCTGAAAAGGAAACAGCCACACCATTAAACCCACTTCAGTTCCAGGCCATTTCAATGGATCTCCAAGCTGGGCAGGGTTTCCTTCCCCTTCTCCCAGACCTACCCTGTGAGTCCTCCCTGTGCCCAACACCCCGTTCCGGCCTCCCTAACCCCAGGAGGCAGGTTACAGGAATGAAGGTGCATCATCCTTTAAGGCAGCCATCTGGGGGCCCTAGTGGCCCCAGAAAGGATAATGTTCCTGGGGTGCTGAAGCCACTGAGGAAGGAGGAGAGAGCACTTACCTGCAGCTGGAAATGGGTGGAGTAAGGGGCATAGAGCGTATCCCCTATCTCTTCCAGACCTGGAGCAGAGGGAGAGGGGAAATGACACATGAGTATTCAGGACGCCCACCTGTGCTCATGCCACTGAAGCCCCTACCACAGTGGACAGCTTGTCTGTGTCACTGCCTGGTCCCCAGTAGACGCGAAGATTCTTGCAAAGAAAGACTATGCCCTTGAGCCCAGGACCAGGCACAGAGCGAGCATATTGGTTGAACGAATGATGACTAGCATGAGAGTCATCAGGGAAACCCCTTTCTAAACCTTGGAGAGCAGTCCCACCTCATCCTAGGGCCACCTCAAATGCTTATTTGCACACCAGGCACAGTGGTGTGCATCTAATATCCTTCCTGATCGCAAGTCTGGGGCAGGACCGTGATAGTGAGACCCTGCCGAAAGTACCTACCTCTGTTTCTCTCCCTTTCCCTCTCTCCTTCCCCCTTTCCTTCCCTCTCTCCCTTTTTCTCTCTTCATTAGGAGGGTGGGTGGGAAGGAGGGTACAACCCAATCATGGTGGTCCAGGAGGCAGAGCACTGCTGCATGATGCTGGAGCCAAAGGTAGGCCTGGGTTCAGATCCCAGTTCAACCTCAACATGCCACCTGCACCCACATGCACCCATAATCCAGGCTGGCTGGGAGTCTCAGAGTGAGACCCTATTGAGGGTTGCTCTCTCTTCCAATAAATTAATAAGATAAAATTTTTAAAGTTCATCTGAAAAGTTGTAGTCTTTTCAAGGTCATTTCAGTTGCTTAGGGTTAAGGGAGCCAGAACCTCCATGGTCAACCACAGTTTGAATCCTGGTCCCAGTGGCTTAAAAATATACCAGGGGGACCAGCAGTTGGCATAATGGCTATGTCGCTAGATTCCCACGTAGTCGACCGCAGTTCATGTCCCGGACCTGGTGGCTTAAGACTCACGCCGGGCGCTTGTGCATACGTGCCCAGGATCCCAAGAGGAGAATGGAGGAGAAGGGATTGCGGCGTGACCATCCCCCCTGGGGGGTGATTTCTCGCTTTCTGTCTCTCTGTCTCTCTCTGTCTGTCTGGCAAGCGCACGCGCCCTATAGTGAAAAACCTCTCAAAAAAAAAAAAAGATTGATGTAATAGTAAGATATAGATCTGGCCAGAGGTATGCCTAGAATGTCCCTCACTGGAGATCTACCCATTTCCTTAACTGCCTGACAAGGAAAAATACATATGCAAATACAAAAATATATATTTTATATTTATATAAATATATTTACATACTTTATATAAATATAATACTTCATATAAGTATTTTATATATAATTTATATATATACAAATATGATATATATAATTTTCTTAGAGAAGGAGCAGAATGTATGAGCAATTTTTTTGTCTTCATTTTGGGAAAATCGGAAGATTTTAAACCTGGGAACAGAATGGGTAACAGATGTAGTCATCATGGACGCAATTTATAATAATCCATTTCTCTCCTCTCAAAATGATCTGCCAAGTTGAACCCGTAAATACTTAGACATCTTCTATCTATAGGATATTTGAAAAACACAAGGATTATCCAGAAAGATCTCCGCTCTGCTGCTGACCCTGGAGGGTAAAGCGTCTATGACAGGTACGTGAATAGCTAAAGCAGCAGACTCTGACAGCAGCATTTCAAAGCTCCCAGACGCGCAGGGCGGAGTGATTGCTGAGGGAGATGGGACTGCCTGACTCTGAAGAGGGTAAGACCAAGGAAGGAGGCCCTCCAGGCTAAGGCCAAGGCGCCTGGGGCCCAGACACACAGAAGGAAAACAGCAATTTTGTGTTAGGAATGCTGTTCAACTGTGGGAGGCCCGCCTAAGAGTTCCACATGGTGCCAGGCCGAGTGCAGGCCGCGCGGAGTGTGTGTGGCCAAGTGCAGTGGGGGAATAAGCTGACAACAGTCCGTGAATGAATGACGGGGAGGAAGAGTCATTAGGGGGCCATAATAGGGAGTCCAGGAGTGACGGGAGTAAAGTCCTGGGAATGCCCGAAGGGATAGAATATCCCCGCCTGCACCAGCCTGTTCATGGCCGTTAAACCTGCTAGATCCCACAAGGCCGACTGTGCAGTTCAAGTCCCGGACCTGGTGGCTTGAGCAACACCAGGCACATATGTGTGCATGCCCAAAATAGTATAAGAGAGGGGATTACAGCATAACCATCTCCCCTGGGGTTTTCTCTCTCTCTCTCTCTCTCTCTCTCTCTCTCTCTCTCTCTCTCTTTCTCTATCTAACTCTATCTCTCTGGCAAGTACATGCATCCTATTGCAACACAAACAAACAGAAGAATACTCTCTCCTGCCCTCCCTGTCCCTGCAGGCTTCCAAATGCCCAGGTGAGAGACCACATCATCACTGAGGGACACCAGGAAGCAGCATCTGGGACTTTTTTTTTAGAGGTTTTTGCTATAGGGCGCGTGCGCTCGCCAGACAGAGACAGACAGAGAGACAGAAAGCGAGAAATCACCCCCCCCAGGGGGATGGCCACGCCGCAATCCCTTCTCCTCCATTCTCCTTTTGGGATCTTAGGCATGCACGCACATGCGCCCGGTGTGAGTTTTAAGCCACCGGGTCCGGGACACGAACCGTGGTCGACTACGTGGGAGTCCATCGACATAGCCATTACACTAACTGCTGATCCCTGCATCTGGGACTTTAAGGACCGGGAAGAGACCTCATTTTAGCTGGTGCCAAGAACCTGTCCTTGGAGGTTCCTTCCTCACTCCAGTCTAGAAAAACCAGCATAAACTCTAGAGACCAATGAGTAGATCCCAACAAGCAAGGGCACTTTCTGACTACCAGTTTAGCCTCTTTTTCTTTTTTCTTTTAAGAATTATTTTATTTAACTTTATGTATTTACTTATTTTAATTTGACCAGAGAGGGACAGAGAGAGAGAAAGAGAAATTAAGCTGCCAGGTTCAGGACTCAAACCATGGTCGTCCATGTGGGAGTCCAGTGCCCTTAACCACCGCGCCACCTGTCGACGCCAGTTTAGCCTCTTTTTCTTAGGAAAAAATAACAGAATACTTGGCTTCTCAGAACTCCAGGCAAGAGCAAAATTGTTTGATTCTTTAACATGACGTATAATCCCTTCCCTCCCTTGGGCCCAGAGACTACACTAAAACGTGGCTTCCGTGCTAAGGCAGAATCCTCAGTAACTTCCCGGACATTCCCGCCAGTTTCTCCCTTCTCTGCTCCGTGATCACTAGAGGATGTTGTGTCTTGGTTTCCAGCACTCAGCTCCACAAAGGCCCCACATTTCTGGAAGGAATGCCTGGTTATCTTTTATAAAGAACACAAGCTCGTTCACTTATCACTAGGAATGTTTCTACTCATTCCTTTTCCGTTACTTCACCCCATGTTATTTTGATTAAAAAAAAAAAAATCTATTAAGACTCTAGAGCTTTTGGTTCTACTTGTCTCTGACTGGATGATTTTAAGCAAGTCCTAAACCCTAGGCAATATATCTGTTCTATCAGGGGGATAATCTGGAAAAACCTGGCATGTTCCTTACAGTTATAATATCCTACTCCTCGCCCCCATCTTTCTCCACCAGGTACCTTGAGTGATTTCCTCTTGAGAGTAGGCTCTGTTCTCCACACCATAGCTCTGCTTCATGAGTTGAGGTTTACAAAAGGCATCCTCAACGGGGTAATCCAGGGGGTTTCGTTGCTTCGTGAGCAGGTGGAACTCGGGTGCAACATACACCAACAGGAAAACCCAGCCATTGGCCACCAGGGCTGAGCTGAGGATGGTGTCATCCCAGGTGGAGTCAGGGTTAGGAACAAAGAGCAGGGTGATCCACACCACCCAGATGGCAACGGAGAGGACCACAGTGAGGCAGATGTGGGCCCCATGTCTCTTCCAACCAGTGAAGGGTCCGCAGAAGGTGCAGGAGGATGCGAGAATGGTTAGCGCCATCAAGAAGAGGACATAGATGAGCAGCATGACGAAGTCTTCATCGCGACGAGAAGCAGAAAACTCAGAAAAGATATCGACATTGGTCCTGTTCATGGTGAGGACAAGGTACTCAACAGCGATGACGTCCTGCACCAGGCTGAAGCCTAGAGCCAGGCCCAGCATCACCAGCAGGGAGAAGGGCTTCCTCCCACGGACCAGCTTCGTCAAGTTGAGAGCATGAACCAGGAGGCAAGAGAAGCAGATGGAAAAGAGGACCCCAAAGAGGAAGAAACGTGTGGGCCCCGTAGTGCCATCCAGCCTGATGATGAAGGCAAAGGTGAGGCCGAAAACCCCCAGCACACCCAAGAGGAAGAGAAACTGGATGGGGAGGATTTTCCGCTTGTTAGAGTCCTGAACCTTGCAGATGAGGATCAGGAGAGACAGCAGGAAGGCCACCGTGGTCACAATCCCAACCGCGGCCAATGCTTCTAGGACGATACCCCAAATTAAAGTTGTGTCACAAAGTCTGTTGTACTTGCTGTTCAGGTCTGAGCGGCAACCATCTGGGGCTTTTGTAGTCATTCTCGTCCTGTGTGAGAGCAAAGTAAATCTCTTAAACTCAGGTGCAGAGGACTGAAAAATGGTTAGGAAAATATATATATACACAGTTAGCCAGGTTTTTGCCCTTGAACTTAGTACATTAGGCAAAGCTATTCTCTTTTCCCTTCTTCCTGGGGTGAATTCTAGTGATCAATGAAGGGAGAGACAAATCACCCACTTCCTTCCCCCCAGTTTCTATTAATATTTACCTTGGGAAGCTGGAAGCCACATAGGAGGCCCAGGTTAGTCCTCAAGCCAACCTGGACATGCTAGGTGCAGTTGCAATGCCTAAAACCCCAGCTAACTGGGAAGCTGAGGTAGGAGGATTGTGACACAGTGAGACTCTGTCAGAAATCCCTGCCTCTGTCTCTCTCTCTCCCCTTCCCTCTCTGTCTCCCTCCCTCTCTCTCATAAAGAAAAAAATAAGTGTATATTTACCTTGAAGCCAGAGTACTCAACACTATGAAGAGGTATTTCAGACCCTAATTTCAAATTATCATATACATATCACAAATAATCTACCAGGGCTCCTGATATTTGGGGCCAGTGAACATGGAAACATCTAAGTTTGAGGTTAACATTTTAATCATAGTTTGTCAGACTCAAGTTTTTTCCACCTTTAGTCCTGTTTCAGATACCATTTGTAAGAATTCTGGATACATAGGTACCCAGAGTGAAGATGATGGCCCAGGATTCAAACCCTGGTTGGCCTTGTGGAATCCAGCTGGCAGCACTTGGGTGCTGCAATTGAACTAACCTTCCATGTGAATTTTTAAACCAGATGTTTTTCCCAACTTCCATGAAATCTACATCCTAGGGATTCACGATACAAGTGGGAAGATAAATTGGGAAACTGGAAAAGATAAAAGAGTTTCCATATTTCCTCAAAATAGGTGGCTCTGGGACCACCAGGTGGCAGGGTAGTTAAGGCATTGGACACTCCCACATGGTAAACCACGGTTCAAGTCCTGGACCTGGTGGCTTGTTCTCTCTCTCTCTTCTCTCTCTCTCTCTCTCTCTCTCTCTCTCTCTGATTAAACTGGAAATAATGGTAAATTAGATTAAATAAAAGAATTATTTAAAAAAATAAATGGCACTTAAATGCCAAAATCAGTGTTGGTATGATATTGAAATTCAGCATTGCTAGAGCTAGCCTGTAGCACAGTGGTTAAGTGAGCCAGATCCCACAGTGCAAACCACAGTTCAAATCTCTGCCCTGGCATCTTGAAAAACATGCTGGGCGTGTGCGCATGCATTCCTAAAATTCTGACAAAAGGGAGAAATAAGAGAAAAAAAGATTGCAACCCCACCCCCCAACTGGGAGTGCTTTCTCTCTCAATCTCTCTCTCTCTCTCTCTCTCTCTCTCTCTCTCTCTCTAGTGTGTGCGCGTGCATGCACACATGTGCCCTCTAGCAACCTAAAAGTAATTCAGCATTGCTAGACATAGCTTTAGTCCAAACAGTCTAACTGTAAATTTAGTCTGAATTATTTCGCTGTTTATAAGTTCCCTTTATGCTATCTATTTTGATCTACTGTATGTTATTCATGCATGAATTTACTAGTTTGTTTTGGTTCTAATTTCCCTGGCGGTACTGGTCACCAATGGTAGAGTTCTCTGACCTGGCTGGAAGAGTGCCGTGGTCTGGCAGGAAGAGGCCAGAGCCAGAAGAAGGAAAGTCTCACTGGGGCCTCCTCTATAGACAAGCACCAGTGAAAGAGCTTGGCTTCTAGAGCCAAATAGGAACAGAACATGCAGCAAAAACTGGAAAACAGGGAAGGGCTGGGGTTGGGAGGCAGGAAAAGATATTGACACAAAGCGTGAACTGAATCCTGCTTCTTAGAGCAGAAAAAAACAACCCAGAGTTTCTTCACCACATACCCTTGGGTGTTTATAAACTACTGTGAGCAGCTGTGAACGAGGTAGGAGAATGCTAGCAAGTGGAAGCAGGAAAGGGGGCTCCAACATCTGCCCATGCAGCTAACTAGAAAAACCCAATCGGGGCAGAAAATTCCCCATCCGAGGTAGGGTAGGCAGGAGGTTAGTAGAGTTGCCTAGCTGAGTAAACCACCTTTGACATAGCCAATGAGACCAATCAGTGGGCCCAGCCAGTGATCAACTGACACGACCTAAATTGAAAAATTATAAACCTCTCCAAACGTAACTGCCAGGACCTTCTGAGCCACTCTTTCTCTGTCCACGCAGGCCCGATCCTACCTCACAAGAGGGTACTTTCACTTTTACATAATAAACTACCTTTTCTTTTGGCTGCTGGTGAGTTTCGTTCAATTCTTTGTCCAAAGCACCAAGAACCTGGATACCATCAGAGAAGCCCATCCCACAACGTGATCAGCCCCAAACAAGAGAACACCCTCTGCTCTTCCATCCTGGCTCTTCAAACAGATCACAAGGTAAAGAACAGTGCACTGGGATGCAAAACCCTGGCTACTGAAGGCCATGTGGGCAGAATTCAAATGCCTGCTTCCCTTAGAGAGGCGAAAATGTCTAACCGATTGGATGAGATGGTTATTATACCAGAATTATTATTTTATTCACATAGCAAGTAGGTGAAATGTGTATATTTCACACACACACACACACACACACACACACACATCTGGAAAGTCTTGACACATTTTTGCACAGAAAAATACATCGCGACTTTTCCGACAACCCAATAGATGTATACATGCACATAAACATGAATGTTAGATTATGTATTATGTGTTAGAATAAAAGAACGCCAGCTATAGTTTACATCTTTCCTGCCTTTTTAATGAAATTTGGCTAAGTCTAACTTTATACATTTTATAGTTCATATATTCATTCAACAAATATTTCCTGAGCACCACTGTGTGCTGGTCACTATTCTAGGTACTTGGTGGTAAAGGGAAAACAGACATGTCCCCTCAGTGGTAGAGGGTGCAGATAGACGTCCTCTGACATTGCTGCCTCAGGTTTCCCCTGTCTTCCCCTACTGTGGTTCTGCCACCTGCAGGCTCTAACCCACTGGAAATCCAGCCCCACTGCAGCAGGCAGAGCAAAGGATGGGTTACCTTCCATCTCTGCAAGGCAGGGCAGGACGAGAAACAGCAGGAAAAAGAAAGGCAGATGAGGTTCAGACAGTCAGCCCCTGAAACCCAAGAACCTAAAGTCCTATCTGCCTTGCCTACAATGTCCATTCAAGGGCAGCAGGCCAAGGAAAGGGACCCAGGCCCTGGGCATTTGCTCCTCCACACCCTCTCAGATTAATCATCAGGGTGGCGCCTGGCAGGATAGGCATACCCTCTCGCCTTTGTTCTCTGGCCCTCCCTGCCCCTCCCTGCCAATTGCTCCTCCCTGCCCCTCAGCTGACAAGTAGTGGTTATCATAATCGCCTGATAATTATAAAGGACTTTGACCCCGATGACTCTAAACCTCTCAGAGATGGATGAGATTTTTGCCTACAGGCCAGTTCTAGTGCTGGACAGAGGGACAGTAAGGCAGAGAGGCGTCGTGTCCCCAACTTGGACTGACAGTCCTTTCCATTTTGCATAGTTGCACAGGAGCGTGCTGTGTCTCGGGGATGTCCTGGTACCCTAGGCCAGGGTCCTGCCAGAGCAGTGGACAGCGAGTGTGGAGAGAGGAAGAGAGCAAATTTCCTTACATTTTACCCCCCCACCCCACTCCCATCATGCAACAGGGGTGGAGAAATGGTTCCTGAATTGCCTTTTAAAAAGTTTGACTTTTCAAAGTTTCTCTGACAGAAATATTTAGAATGGCCACCCACAATGGAGCAGGCAGTAGCTCACCCTCCAATGCTAGAACCATGCGGAAGACCAGAGTCCTGATCCTAGGTTGACCTGAAACGTACTGGGTGTGAGGAGGTGCGTGTTTGTGATCCTGGCTGACTGGAAGGCTGGTGGGTAGGGAATTGGTGAGACTGTCAAGGGGGTGCCTCTCTTTTTCTTTCTCTCTCTCTCTGTCATGCACACACACAAAAGAAATATTTTTTTAAAAGAGATTTTTATAATGGAAACTCATGTGTCCATCATTTAGTTTCAGTAACTATCAACATACGGCCAAGTTATACCAGATAAGTTTATCCATTAGTACTTCAGTCTGTATCTCTAAAAGATAAAAAAACTCCTTAACTTAAACATACTTTAAAAATTCACTTTGAGGGCAGCCCATGGTGTGATGGGTGAGGCAGTTGGACCCTACAAGACCAACCACACAGTTGGAGTCCCAGACCCTGATGCGTAGAAACACACCAGGCAAGTATTGTCTGAGTGCCTAAGACCCTGAAAGGAGGGAAAGATGGAGAAGGGATGGTGGCATGGCAATGCCCTATGGGGGATGCTTTCTCACTTTCCCTCTCTTTCTCTTTCTATCTGTCCGCCTGTCTCTCCAACAAGTCTATGCATCATCTGGCATTGTTTTGTTTGTTTGTTTGTTTGTTTGTTTTTTTAATTTAATAATCTCTTTCCTACTTCCAAAATCCTTTTCAGAGGGTCTGGCAGGAGTCACATCCACGAACATTAGCAGGCCGTGTTGGCTCACTGATAACAGGACTCTTAGAATACATCCTGTCCCTGACATAGTATCTCTGTGATATATAGTAAGCCTCCTTATCTCTGTTCAAGTTCATTTTTTAAAAGTGCATTACTTTGCTGATCTCTTCCCCAGACATAGGCCTTCCTTTCCAATTACCAATCCAAAACTTGTAAAACCCAGCTATAGCCTATAAGCCCCCCCTCCAGACGTCCTGCTTCTTTTGGCCAGACCAATGGAAAAACTCTTTTCACTAAATTCCAAACTTTGTCTCACGCTTAAAACCAAATAAAAGGAACCCCCATATCTGAGCACCCTGAGAAAGACACACTTGCCTTTCTCCAAATAGGTCACTCGTACTCATGCTTAGAAAGAAACCACATTAATTCTTTTTTAAGTTAATAATCATCCTTTAGTATAAAATATTTAGTTGGGGTTCATCTTTCCCAATTCTCCC